CAGGAACTAAATGACGCACTGTCATCAGCAGGTTAGGCCTAGGGAGGACTGAGGTGGTCCCTATCTCCCCACACCTGTAATCCATTCCCAACCCACAGGTATCGGGAAGTTCTGCCTAAGAGCCTAGTAAGTATGACACAGATACATAGAATTGTGTTGAAAAGTTTTTTTGTGATGGGTTTTTAAGTTATTTCTGAGAGTAACATCAAAGAATACTGTTTGTTTATATTAGCCCAGCATACTTCAAAACTGAGAAGGAGGCTAGAATTAAGTACCAGACCTTCTAGGTAGTTTTTCTAAACATTTAGACTTTAAAATGTCAAATAAAAATAGGTGGTTTTGTTCTAAACAGAAATACATTGACATTACCTAAATGTATTTGCAAGATGTTTCCACGTTTGTTTACTTATTTATTGCTGAAGTTAGGAAAATAGTATAATGCCTGAATCAAGCATTCTAATTTTTATTATTATAAAATAATGTCTTATTATTAATAGCTTTATAATTTATCAATTAAATGAAACATAAACTTACATTACCTGTTACTTCAAACAAGGAATTAAAGTAGAAGCAATGCATTTATTTAACTCATTTTCAAGTGAATAAACATGTTCCATGTGCTAGTCTTTTTCTTGCTCTGCTTCCTTAAAACAAAATACATCAGCTGTTAACACCACTATCATAATACTGTCTAGAATCCTTGTATTCGAACCAAAAGAGAATTGGTGGATTTTTTTTTTTTTTAAGAACTTGAGAATGAAATTCCAACTTGCTCATGGAGCATTGTGTATTTTTTAGGCCATAATTTAGTACTTTAATTGAAAAGCTGTTATAAAGTTTGCATGACCAAAGCCAGATAGAATGTGCTATTTCAGTGTAAGTTCTGGAAACAAGGCAGTTTTTAAGTATTAAAATATACAGTATTTCAGAGGTGTTTCAGTGAGGGGAACCACTATCCTATTTCTAGGAACATTTGGAGATAAAGCAGGTCTAGTATTTCCAATTCAATAAATCTGGAGAGTGTGAAAGTTCAGTCAACTTGCTGAAATTGTTTCATAGGGACTAAGCTCTCACTATATTGGATCATGATTATTGTGTTCACTTGTCTTCAGCTGTTGCACACCACATGCAAAGGTAGAGCCACCACATACAGGACCACTCACCTTTGAGGATCATTCTTAACAGCCCATTACTCAGCCATCCTAACAGCTCTTGGTCAGGTAGGTGTGGTGCCCTAGGAAATTCTGAAATGATCCTGCTTCTTCTGCCTTTCCATAGATTGTCTTATCCCATCTCTGTCACCTTTTTGTTTTAATGATATTGTCTACATCAAAGATTCTGAAGTTGCCCATTGGAATTATCTGGGAATCAGGGTGTCTATATTCTTTTCAGGCTCTGCGGGTAGTTTGAGTGTGGGTTCAGAATCCCTGGTCTAAACTTGAATTTTGATTTCTGAAGATGTAATAAAAATGGCGGGGGGGGGGGGTGGGTATTACAAGGTAGTTACATGTATTTATAAATATATTGGGTAGCTTACCTTTTTTAATTAATTAACATATTTCCTAATAAATTTCTGACATGGGTACAGATTCCTAAGATGAACTAAATAGACTAAAGGTTTATAAGAACTCTTTTACGTTTTCTGAATCTCCTCATTATACTAGATGACTCCAGTAGGGCTCTTCCACACCTTAGCCTCAGCTTGAACCTTGTCTGAACATGGTGAAATTTTTAGCTTCCTTGCATTACCAAAGGGTGTTTGCCAGAGGATATGGTTGTCCCATTAATTTTGTTTATTTCATGTTTATATATTTTTATCCTTGACTCTTTAATATCTTTTTAAATTAGAAAAGCAGTATCTGGGGGCACTCCCAGGGTGGCTCCAGTTACTTAGCGTGGAGTATTTTGCAGCTCAGGTGCTTGATCTCACAGTTTCTTGAGTTAAAGAGCTCTGCTTGGGGATTCTGTGTCCTCCCTCTCACTGTCCCTCCTGGCTCACACTCTACTGTCTCTCTCTGTCTGTCTCAAAAAGCCAATAAACAGCATTACCCAATGATGGGTGGCATGATGGGTTAAGCGTCGACTTCAGCAGGTCACTATCTGTGGTGTTGTCCGTGAGTTCGAGGCCAGCCCAGCGTCGGGAGCTCTGGGCTGGTGGCTCAAGAACTGGGACCTGTTTCATTCCTGGCTGTCTCCTCTCTCTCTGCCCTCCCCGTTCATGCTCTGTCTCTCTCTGTCCAAATAGCGTTGAAAAAAAAAATTTTTTTTTTTAAAAAAAATAAATAAACATTAAAAAATTTAAAAAAAAAAAAAAAAAGAAGAAAGAAAAGCAGTATCTACTCGGGAGGAAACTTGGCAAATGCAGAGAAGTATAGAGAAAAGAAAGGGGTGCTTTGGGGGCCTTAGTTAAGTGTCCAACTCTTGATTTCCGTTCAGGTCATGATCTCACAGTTTGTGGGATCCAGCCTCACGTCAGGCTCTGCACTGACAATGGAGAGTCTGCTGGGATTCTCTCTCAGCCCCTCCCACCCCCTTAAATAAACAAACATTAAAAAAAAAAAAGTGTAGAGAAAGAAAAAGATAATAATCCACAGTCCCACAATTCAAAATAATTGCAGCTGGGGCTCCTGGGTAGTTCATTGGGTTGAGTGTCCAATTCTTGATTTCAACTCAGGTCATGATCTCAGGGTCATGGGATCAAGCCTTGCATCAGACTCTGTGCTGAGCGTACAGCCTGCTTGAGATTCTTTCTCTCTCTATCTCTCTGAAATTAAAAAACAAAATAATTGCTGCTAACATTTTTATTCCTTTGTTGTACTAAACTATCGATTTCTAGAGATGACTTCTAATTTTAATATTTTAGGATTTGTTACGTATATTTGAAATTTTTCATAATGAGAAATAGTTTCAGAAATGATCTCTGAAACACTCTGCAGTCTGTATGTTTTAAGTATTCTTTTTACTTTTAGTTTTTCTGTTCCTAAGCTAGTTTCTTCTTGCAAAGAACCCTTCTCAGTGACTCAATATTTAATAAGCTATGACATGTAAGTTAAACACTTTTAAATCACATATGGCATCCCTGTATATACATGCATATTTACCATCTCAAAGTAGTACACTAAATAAATCAGGCTTGATTATCCTTCTACAAAAACCATATTGTCCCTTCAAATAAATTTGCCAAGCTTAGAGTATGAACATTGTCCTTAATCTGACTCTATTGAAACTCTGCTTAGAGGTGTGAGCCATGTTGACCTAGTCATTTGACACAGAGGCCCATTTGTGGTGGCAGATTTCCAAGACTCAATGGGCAATTTCAGTTTGACTTTGAGTATCATTTACATTTGGATGCTATCTGATCTCCATTATTTCTTAAAACATTCATGCTCCTGACCTCCACCCACCACACACAAGAAAATCTGAATCCAGTATTCTTTTGACTAATTTCCAGGGCATGTTATTGAAAAATAGTAATGATGAGATTGCTTTGAAAATTAAAATTAGAAGTAGATAGAGACTTAAGCTTACTTGTGCTGTATGAAATGTGTATCCTTACAGTCAAATGTAAGCCAAAACAAAAAGCAGTAACAATTTATTCCAAGATCACCATTTGATTAAGATAAAATAATTAGCATTCCTGTAAGATATAGAGGGCACTTGAAAACATAAAGAGGTCTTAAATTTCTATAATAAAAGTATTTTTTCTCCTAAAGAAAAAAAAAATATCTGTAGTTGTTTATAAATTACTTTCCAACAACGTAAAAAATGTGTTCTGAACTACATATCAACACATCCTTCTGGGATAGTATTGCAGGAGAGAAACAGAAGTTTGAGTCTAACTGATAATACAGATGTTAACATTTAAAAAGAAATTATTTAGCTTGAATAAAACTTTAGAAAAAAAAAGTTAAACCAGTTGCCAGTTTGTTACTTGACAAAACAGATTTTATTGACATGAAACATTGGTAACTAGGCTGAAAATAAAATTGTCTAGATACACAGTTTTCAAGACTTATTTTTTACTTACATGATGCATTTATTAATCTTAAGATTAGTAAACCTTTATTGTAGATTTAAGTAAGCCACTAAAGTAGCATTTGTGAACCATGATAAAAATGCTTATTGTCTATACTATGCAGAAGAAAACTATGTAAACTATATGTTGCAAATTGCAATTATAAACAGACTTGTCTGCTTATAAACAGTACAATCCTCATTGGCCTTTTACTCTCTATATGTCATGATGATTCTCTTTTGAATGCTTTAGCTGTTGAGTCCAGAGCCTACTAAAACAAGTATTTTTCTGGAGGCAGTAATTAAGTACAACATAGCTGGAAATGTGAAATGTGGTTTCAGCCTTTTTAGGAACTAGGGAGATACATTGATCTTTGCTAAATAAATTTCAGTTTGCATGTCCTTGAAATAATTTTACACGTGGTGTTATACTGGGAGAAAATCCAAAACGGTGTATTACAGATATCTATCAAAATTAACATTAATGAAATATGTAATTATTTCAACAAGATATACTGATTATTATAAGATTTTAATATTTGCAGAGGACTAATATTTTTCTGATTAACTTTACAAAGAACTGAATATTGTTTTAAGCTTTTTTACTAAACAGTCAAATTATGCCATTTCTCCTTTTAAGTAGGTCCTTGTGCTTTATTCTTTGAATAAGACGTGCTGCTTTATCATCTTTTCTAGTACATGTAAAAATATTCATTGACTGTATGATTATATTCATAAGGTAAACCCTAGTTGTAGCAATATTGCAATTAATAAGCTTTTATATAACTTTGGAAGTATTTTAACATCATTTAATACTTGCTCGAAATGGTTTATGTAAGTTAAATCTGTACAACCTTGGGGTAAAATGTAAGCAACTGCACTATTAGGAAGATATTAAAGTAGAGGCTATATTTACAGTGTCGTCTTTCAAATCTAGCTGTGCTGTAAACTGATGTTTGCTGTATGCTCCTCCTGATTTGAAATAGATGAAAGAAAATGAACCTATTATCACCATGGTTCACACAATGATTGAGAACTCGGCGCTAAGACCCCAACTGTACCAGCAAGTAAGGTCTTGGACAGTGAATGATACTGCTTTATCATCTGCAAAATCCCTCAGTGACAGTTTTGGTTTATCCTCAGAGTTACTCATAACATTAGTGTTTTCTTATTTCATTTTTTTTGTTTATGTCTATTTGGAAAAATGCAATTCATCCATGCTTTTTAAGATGCTGCAGTATTCTTAGCATGGCTTTGCTGAACATTTTGCTGTTGAATATTAAGTGTGCCATTTTCCTGAAGTTGTTGTGCAGAGTATTTGATTGATACGTATGTACTTGGAGGTCTGCAGTACATTTGCAAATTTGGTACTGGATTGCCGTTAATTCCAATTTACTCTAAAAGCATTTTCACTGATTTCTAGGGAGAACTTTAAAAAACTTTTTTTTTCCTTTTAGGGGCGGCCCGCAACCCACCCTACCCCACCCCCACCCACTGTTTTAGGAATAGATTATATTTGTATGGGAGTTGTTCAAATCTAGTTTCTGTACTGTGGTGTAGTAAGACCTAATGATAGCCACTTCTTAACATACTGGGGATATCTTCTCCCTGTATTCTTACCATTCTTATGCCATCATATGCATCATCTTACCTCATTCTTTTCCCTAACTCAAAATATGTGCCATGGAGCTGGCTGGCTTTAATTTAGGACATTGGTAATCTGCAGATCTGCAAAAGAAGTCATTTTATACATTCCTATCCAGTTGTTTTTTTTGTTTTTTTTTGTTTTTTTTTTTGTTTTTTTTTTGTATTTCATGGTCTAAGTGTTCTTAGCTGTGTGTTTTGCAACATCAGCTTCTTCCACTTCAACACCTTCAAATTACTGTGGCCTATGACCTGTTATAGTACTTTAAAATTCATACCGAAGAAGAAAATTAACAAACATGAAAAATGAATGTATTTTGATTAACATGTGTAAAAGCACCTAGTGAAAAGAAGCACCTTGAGCTCACTGGCTTTAAAGTCTTCTGGTTTGCTTTAGTCACCTAGAGATCAGTATCATGGGCCTTGTAGCTGGGAGATTGAAACAGTTGATAGAAGGGTGAGCCCTGTTTCTGGGCCCAGTTTTTATTCTATCAATAAAGAAACAAAGGATTAAATATTTAAAGTTAAACAGCTTTACTTTTCAAAAGAAAATAAAATCTTTCTGGGGCGCCTGGGTGGCTCAGTCGGTTAAGTGTCCAACTCTTGGTTTTGGTTCGGGTCATGATCTCAGGTTTCACGAGTTCAAGCCCTGCATCAGGCTCTGCGCTGACAGTACAGAGCCTGCTTGGGATTCTCTCTCTCCCTCTCCCTCTGCCCCTCCTCCACTCACTCTCTCTCCCTAGAAATGAATAAATAAACTTAAAAAAATAAAGGTTAAAAAAAGAAAATCTTTCATTTTTAAAGTAACCAGGTTAAAGGAACTTGACACTTCATTCCAAAATGCCACTGCTGAGAACCTTAGCCTTTGTTCTGGAATTAATACCTTTTTCTGAAGCTGCACTTTATCATTTTTATATTGGTAAAAGTCAAAGGTATTATGTTTTAATGGGTTTTATTTTCACATTTTGCATATTCTCAGTAAGAGTGATAGCCTGGATTTTCAGTTTTGTTGGGTTGGGTTTTTCTTTTTTTTTTTATTTATTTTTTTTAAATTTTTTTTCAACATTTATTTATTTTTTTGGGGGGACAGAGAGAGACAGAGCATGAACGTGGGAGGGGCAGAGAGAGAGGGAGACACAGAATCGGAAGCAGGCTCCAGGCTCTGAGCCATCAGCCCAGGGCCTGACGCGGGGCTCGAACTCACAGACCGCGAGATCGTGACCTGGCTGAAGTCGGACGCTTAACCGACTGAGCCACCCAGGCGCCCCATCTTTTTTATAATGATCAGTAATCAGGGTTGGTGATGCAGAAGTCATCGCTGATTGAAATTACTCAGTTGCACTAAACGTTCTAATCGGAGTTTTTCAAAAGTGTGGAGATATGTTAGAGTGGTCTTATATACTAGCATCACTGACCAGAACAATCGATTTGTATAAATGTATTTCCTCATTAAATATGAATACTTGAAAGAAAAAACTAAATTTGTACAAAACTGGAAGATCTGAATGTCTACCATCAGCAGCCATTCCTGGGCGTGAGATAGGCAACCGATTACCAGGTAATCAGTGTTGACTGCCAGTCCTGTCAAATTGAGGGTGTCTTTAGAGAATTCTTTTTTAAAAGTCAGCCACTAATGAAGTACTTAATTGTTACAGGGCACTGCTGGTAGATGAAAGTGACCTTCAGGGGCATCTGGGTGGCTCAGTCAGTTCAGCATCTGGCTCTTGATTTCGGCCCGGGTCATGATCTCATGATTCATGATATCAAGCCCCTCTGGCTCTACAGACAGCACAGAGCCTGATTGGGATTCCCTCTCTCCCTCTCTGTCTCTGTTCCTACCCAACTCGTTCTCTCTCTCTCTCTCTCTCTCTCTCTCTCTCTCTGTCTCTGTCTCTCAAAATAAGCATTAAAAAACAAAAATGACTATCAGACACATTTCTTAAATTTGCTTATTAATTTACATAAATTGAAATTCGATCTCATTTTTTTCTCCAGATTTCCCTTACCGTGTTAATATCCAAAGGAAATCTTTATGAAAGTTTCTATTATACACTCTAACAATATGCCTCTCTGACACTGTGTTAATAGTTTCCTGAAATACAACTTAAAATATGATGTTTTGTGACCTGTTATTCTAAATCATAGCCATTTAGATTTTCTCTCAGGAGAACCTTTAAGTTTGCATTTTCTTGGAAGAAAGAAGACACCCGAAAAATTACCTATTCAGTTAATTTTCTTTGAATCGGTGATATAAAAAGGATCTAAAACTGAATCCAAAAAAAAAAAAGTGCTAAATGAGTGCACTTGGTATTGAAAAATCTTCTCATTTATTAGTCATTCTACGGCCTTTCCCAATTAATTTTTGTACTAGAGTTTTTATAAAATAATATCTGTGAGATGAATCACCTGATGAATAATTGTTTTGAAAGGCACCTACTAATATTAGCAAATACCTACCGTCCTGTGACTATTTTTGAGCCCTCACAAAATGTCTAATTCTATCAAATATTTCCCCAAAAAACCTTTTTGGGGTTTACATATATTCATTAACTTTAAAGTATATGTATATTCACATTCTTAAAAGGGATACTATAGAAAGTTGAATTTTGATAAACAAAAGTAATTTTGTGTTAATGCCAAGCCAGTTTTTTAAAAGGTTATTAGATATTTTATTATGAAAAAGTTCTGACTTTCTAAATAGAGCATATATCTTCATATGTCTAGATGTCAGTAAAGTCTGTATAATACACTTCTCAGGTTGAAGCTTGAGCACTGCTAACCCTTATACATTCTCCGTTGCCCCTTTTCATGTGCTTTTCTAGTATTGCTCAGGTACTTCAAAAAAAAAAGGTATTCAAACCCAGAACTTTTTTCCTTTTGCTAAAGATGCATTTGAAAAATGATAAAAAGTGAAACATGATTTTATGGAGATCTTAAGTAATGAGAATATTAACGAAATTACTTTTTTTCTTATTAGTAAGATTTTCATAGTGAGGACCAAATAGAAACTTCTTCAATTCCAAGTGGAAATACTTTTAATAAACTATATCCATCTTTTCTTAAGAAAAGCCTCAGTTATTATTATCAGTAATGGAAAATACGCCATGCTTAAAGGTTAATTTTTTTAAAGAATAATCATGTTTTTTTATTCTTTCCTTCTAATAGGTAAAAGCAATGTATAGTGGAAGGCTGATTATTTTAAGATTTTATTAGTGTCTAATAATGAATATCTTTATTGAATAACTTGCTAAAAGGTTTTAATAAATTTTTCAGTGGTAGTAAACATAATGATAAAGTAAATCTAACGTAGGTAATATATTCATATGGTTATAAGGATATATCACTCTCAAATTCTAGCAACACAGTATACATTTTTTACTTTGCCAGCTGATGTGAAAATGAATATATTGCAGGGGTGTCTGGGTGGCTCAGTTGGTTGAGTGACCAACTTCGGCTCAGGTCATGATCTCACAGTTCGTGAGTTCGAGCCCCGTGTAGGGCTCTGTGCTGACAGCTCAGAGCCTGGAGCCTGCTTCGGATTCTGTGTCTCTCCCTCCCCTGCTGATGCTCTGTCTCTCTCTCTTTCTCAGTAATAAATAAACATTAAGAAAATTGATTTTAAAAAAAAAGAGAAAGAAAATGAATATGCAGTAAGATTCCATAAATAAAAATAGTATACCAACACCCTAAATTTTTATTATAGACTGCTACATTTCCATTTTAAAATATTAGTCTTTTTTTCTGTTGACCCTGGCAATTAGGATACGATGTTCATATTTTAATCTACATGTAGCACTGTGCATTAGTTACATTCAAACTTTACATTCCATGGTTTGGTAAAGCTGCTCTGCATTTAACTTTAAATATTAAGTAAAGTATATTTGAACATTTAGTAGCTAAAGGCTTTACATCTCTAATTTCTTATAAATGGGAAATTTAATTTTGGCATTGTCTTACATTTTTTTATCATGGATCTAAGCATTTTAAAACTTCCTTTTCATTACTTTTTTTTTTTTTTT